TTTTGTTCTCTCTCTCTCTCTCTCTCTCTCTCTCTCTCTCTCTCTCTGTGTGTGTGTGTGTGTGTGTGTGTGTGTCTGGTAAATTAAAATAAATGAATGAATAAATAAAATGAAATAAATCTTAAAAAAAAGTACCATGACTTTTCCAATGGCCCAATGTATTTTCTTTTCTTTCTTTCTTTCTTTATTTATTTTGGAGAGGTTTTTGTTATAGGGCACGTGCACTCTCCAGACAGACAGAGACAGAGACAGAAAGCAAGAAATCACCCCTGGGGGGGTGGCCACGCCTCAATCCCTTCTCCTCCATTCTCCTCTCTGGATCTTGGGCACGCATGCACACGTGCCCAACGTGAGTTTTTAGTCACTGGGTCCGGGACCCCAACCGTGGTTGATTACATGGGAGTCCAGTGACATAGCCATTATACTAACTGCTGGTCCCAAGGCCCAATACATTTTCATGTATAAAGTGATTAGAATATTCCTTTGCCATAGTTAAAAAAATAAAGAATTGCTTTTAAGATAAACATTTTAGAAGTGTTTATTTTTCTTATATTTAAAGATAGCTGTAATATTAAAAAATATGTTGCTGGATTCTAATAACAGAATAATATGCAACTATCACCTAGAGAACAGACCTCACAGCTTACACGCAGCTGAACGTAGATGGGGATTGATTGCTTGAGAGATTTACCTTAGAGTAATGTATGTGGAAAACTCTAAGAAGGATGATAGCTCACTGTTTCTTGGTACTTGTGGTTCTTCTTTTTTCAAGGAATTAGAACCTGAAGAATTCAGCTACTTCAAAAATAAAGTAGTCATCATGAGACCGGATGCTAAGAAGTATGAAGAGGAACTGAAAAAAGAAATGCTTCACTGGATTGAGCAGGACCCAGACAAGGTAGTTACAAACATTTAGGATTTGTTATTTAATATACATCTTATTTATTCAAACATAAATAAAGAAAATCACCCATAAAGCTCTTTAAGATTTGAAGATGGAAGTCCCATTACCAAGCTTTGCCTTACTTGCCTAATTTTGTCTGGTTTTCAGCACACCTAGATATAAAGATGGACACCTAGGTTAAACTGAATTTTACTGTATCGTTTTGACTTGCTATCTCCTAGGAGGTGGCAGACCTCTGGACCTCAATTAGTCCCATCCAATATCCTCTCTTGCAGGCACTAGCCATATATTATCTTTTCTTGACGCTTACTATAGGCTGCTTGCAGCAACTGTGCCATTCATGACTTGAAGGTCCTCTTTTTCATCTATTGTACTATTGCATCTTGTTTAATA